CTGTAGTGAGTAGCTTGCTGCTGTAGTGGGTACCTTTATGCTGTAATCAGAAGCTTCATGCTGCATTAGGTTATTGCTGTAGTGAGAAGCTTCATGCTGTAGTGAGTAGGTTCCAGTTGTAGTTGCTTGTTTGGACCTCTGGCAGCTTGTGGTAAGTCTGTGGTATGTGATCGTGGTCCTCACTGAGCTTCTACCTCAGGCATTTTTCTTTGCTCTTATCTAATTCGATTAAGCAAGTCTGGTTTGCGGTTACGCCACAATATTAGTATGACCTTTTGCATCACTCATTTTGCATTGCTGCCTTGTGGCATGTTTTTAAGGCTTTTAGTTGACGCTGCCTTGCACAGGTCTGTGTGTGTGTATGTATGTATGTGTGTGTGTGTGTGTGTGTGTGTGTGTGTGTGTGTGTGTGTTGTGTGTGTGTGTGTGCTCATATGTGGGTTGCAGGGCTCGAGTCTCAGCTCCTGGCCTCTCCTCTTCTGGCTGTGTGAGCTTTATCATTCATTTTCTTAAAATTATCTATATCCTGCTACCACCACTTCGAAGTCTAGGTTTTTCTTTCCATTTCCTAACCACTCTAAGTTTAAAGAAGTATTTCCTAACATCCCTGTAATTTCCCTGTTTTTAACTTACAAGTGTTCCCTCGTGAACCTGATTCCTGCCTCTCGATCCCTTTGTCTTTATCTCCACTTTCTAGTTGCTCTCGTTATTATGTACGTTATTATCACGTCACCTCTGTTTTTTTCTGTTCTGTAATGTTATCAGGTATATATCTTTTAGTCCTCATATCTTATACCTCTCAGCTCCGGGTCTTGTTGCAATGCTCTGCATATTTTACAGGTTATCAACTTACTTTATCAGGTGTGGGCTTCATACTGGTGTGGTATACTTCAAGATGGGCCTGACCTATTCCTTATATAGCGTCACGAATGACTCCTTGTTGAGGTTTCTGAAAGTTAACCCTAGATTTTCCAGACGCACACTTGCTGTGGAGGTTATTCAGTTGATGAGCACTGCTGGAGATATGCTCAGAACGATGCTCACCCCAAAATCCTTCTCGCTGAAGAATGTTTGCAGCCTTCCTTTCCCAAGCTTTTAATTTGTTTCCGGTCCTCTTCTCCCTTCCCCGCTTTTCATGGCTTTGCATTTGCTTTAGTTAGATTCTAATACGTACATATCAAACCATTCCTGCTGCTCGTCCAAATCCATTTGTAGACATTCCTGGGCTGCATCTGTTTGTATTCTCTGAATTAGTTCCACGTCATCTGCTATCAGGAATAACTCAGGTTCTTCTGTCATATCGTTTACATACACAGCTAAGAGTAATGGTCCCAGTACTGATCCTTATGTAAACCCACTCGACACACTTGTCCAGTCCAACACTCCTCGGACAACTTGTTTTCTTCTTCTTTCTGCTAAGTATTCCTTGATTCATTATAGTGCTTTCTCTGTTATTCCTGTCTGCTCCTCTAACTTTGGCTCCAGTTTTTTGTGTAGCACTGCATTGAGTGGTGCTGCATTGAACTCCTTATTACAGTCCAAAAGTATAGAGTTCAGTCATCTCTCTCTTGATTCACTTTAATAACATTGTAGTAGAACTCTAGCAAATTTGTGTGAGTGGAATTGTCATCAATAAAACCTTGCAAGCTGTTACTTACGAACTCGCTTTTTTCTAGGTGTTCCACTTCTCCTCTCCCGTTAATTTTCTCCATAACCTTACAAACTCTATGTCAGTGACACTGGCCTGTAGTTTAATGCTGCCTGTCTGTTTCCTTTCTTAAATACTGCAATTACAATTACTGGTTTTCACACTGGTAGCTGTCCTAATCAACTGTTTTGTTGAAGATTGGGCTTACTTGTTGACACAGTCCTGCTTTCTCTCTCGGAACTCATTGAGATGTCTGGACACATGGCACTCTGCAGCAGGTATCTATCTCACCCAGTGGTTTCTTCACCTCATCTCTTATTGTGTGGATTGTGTCCAACATTCATTGGTCATCTCTTCCTCTTAGACCCCTTTGGTAATGTACTGTTTTCTCTGAGAATGCCTCCTTAAATCTTTTGTTTAGTTACTCGTGGAGTACCTGGTCATTCCTTGTGAGCTCTCCTCCTTTCTTCTTCAACCTTACTACCAGGTCCTTCACTGTTGTCTTCCTTCTGATGTGACTGTTTAGCAATTTTTGTTCAGTTTTTCCTTTCGATGTTATGTCATTCTCTCTTCTTATCCATGTGTATTCATCCCTGCCTCTTCTGCTCATTTTCCTGTTTTGCTACATTTTTTGCTGTCAATATATATTTTTTCCACACTCTTGCACATTTAGCTTTTGCCTCTCTGCTGCACCTCTGGCTGAACGAAGAGCTCACTCTGTTGTTTCTATTCTTTTAATTCTGCGTATAAACTTCTCTGCTTCACGGCTTCACAGTCCATCATTATTTTTATCGTCCCATCCCTGCCACCCTCCTGACTCTCAGTCACTGCCCCGTAGGTCAGACTGCCACATGGGTTAGGAAGTTCAGTGACTGATGGCTCCCTGCAGTATTTCGCCCTGACTGTCACCACCCTTAGGAGCCTCTCTTCACTTGAATATTTCCTCACCCGCCAGTTGCCCGATGCCCACCATGCTGGCACCCGCCACCCACATTAGTAAGTGCCATCGCGGGTGTCTCCTCATGTAGCTGCTAGCCGCCACATGCTCACCCATTGCCTGCCTAGCAGCCGCCTAACCACCCACCCACCCGCCAGCTGCCATGCACTCATTGCTCACAATCTGCCTCCCTCTTCTGCGCTTAACCCTCACTGCCACCACCTGCCACTCAATTTTCGTCACTAATCTGGCACCTATGTGGTAGCCCCGCCACCCACATCAGTAGTGACCCACCTAGAAGGCCTCCTCCTGCAGCTTCCACCACCATGTCCCTACTCCAGTTACTGCACCACCCTACCAGCCTATCACCCACACTCCGTGTTACTCTGATGTCTAGTTGCTACTCTCCAAAAGAGAGAACTAGTGGCTGCCTGAGGTCCGACAACAAGTTGTAGGGCAGAGAGTGTCGATGAAGAGAGAGGAGGGTTAATTACCATCTCCCACATTGTGAGTCATACTGTACTGTGTACAACAACTTTACGTAGTAATTGTAAGATAAGAAATGACTAATTTTCCTTTCTGGTGATTTAGCAATGCTCAGTAGGGTCTGACAAAGACCCATTGTGATCTCTGTAACCCTTTCTCTGTACTACCTGACAGGATGAGCTGCTGGTGCACAATAAACTAGCCGCTCAGGCGGCACAAGTAACTGTCCCCTGCTTGTGCTTATCCTTCCAACCTGGGAGGGCAAGTCCTTAGAATACGGAGATGTGTCCATTGTGTGTATTAAGTGTATCCAAGATCATGTCCAGTAGTTGCGAGAGGCAAGAGCAACGTGGGATAAAAGCAGGTCAGTCCTGCCATTCGCAGGACTGACCTGCGTCTTGTTGGACCATTACGGCATAGTCTTATATACACTGTACTCTAACTGCGATCAAATAGTAAATGCATACAAAATGCGTGCAAAAAGAATAATTGGAAAGGTGGACAGTTGGATATTTAAATTCCTAAGAAACAGAACGCAAAGAGTTATAGTAAACAGAGTGGAGGTATAGGCTGCTACAGTGAAAAAGTTCAGTACTCACAGTACTCACCCCACTTCTCTGTAAGCTCGCAGACTTTACTAGAACTTTCAAAACAAGAGATACCAAGCCGACGATGATACTCTTCAGGTCAGTAGTTGACTCTAAGCTGGAATACTGCTGCACACTAACGGCTGTCTTCAAGGTAGTACAGATTGCTTAGCTAGAAAATGTACAGAGAATATTCAACGGTTGTATAAACTCAGTCAAGTCCTAAATTACTTGGAGCACTTGAAGTTCTTAGAGCTGTACCCCTTAAACGTAGGCGTAAAAGATACATTACAATCTACACCCTGAAGACACTGGAAGGACTGGTCCCAAACCTTCATACTGAAAAATCTACACATGAACAAAGGAGGTGCAGGATACCTCCGATGATTACCAAGTGAACAATGATTACATTAGTTGGGAGAGGCAAAGAGGAGAGGGGAGAAGGATGAGGGATATGGGGAGAGGATTGGGAGATGGGAAGGGACCACGCCACGGGGGCAGTAACATCTGGAAGCAACTACAGGTTTGCTATAGGTAAGCCGTTCCTTCAAGAGGGAAAGTATATGGGCAACCTGTGTGGAGAAATCATTCTCTGGGACATTTGCGATAAGTCATTGAAACAAGATTCAAGACTTGGTAGGGTGACTGTGACCTCTTGCTGCAATTCCTGCTACATCCTATGTTTTAATTGTGGAACGGATGGAAGATGGTTGATGTGTTTGGTGGTGGAGCAATGCAAGTGTGTGTGTCATGAGGTTGCCCAGACGTCTAGTACCATGGAAGTATGTTGCCCTTTCGAGATTTTAGCGATGCTAGTGCAGTCCAACTTACGTGACTGGATCATAATTGGTTAATGAGATGCTGGTGTCCCATTTCCATTACAGGTAAATATTGGAGTTGAGGAGGTCTTTAAATGGTGATAAGGAGAGTCTGCATCATGAATTACCTATACGTTGACGTACTTATGAACTCCTCTGGTTGTCGTTTGCTCCAGGTGGCTCTTCATAGTGTTGAAGGTATCTATTAAGGTAAGAAAAGCCTGTTTATTAAAGCTGATATTTTAAAAATAGAAAATATTTATAAATTAAAGAGAAAGCTTTGTTTTGTGAGTGAAAAAAATGTAGAAGTAAAGGAATCCCATGAGAGTTTAAAGCTTGTTATGCTGCTGCTTGTTGCATCAACCTTACCCGCCCACTCAGTGGTGGAGAGTTAAAACAAGGAATTCTTTATTCCTTCAGTACTTGGGATTGGACTATAGCAGACTACAGTCCAACAGATGGTGTTTGGCCTTCACGGAGGAAAGAAGGGGGTTGAGAATGGGGAGATGGCTGATCTTGTAAGACCTATTTGAAATGGGGAAGTGACTTCTGAAAACAATGGTGCAGTAACTGGTGAAGAAATAAGTGATCCGCGGTAGAGTGATAATTATAAATGTTCCATACGCTATCATTTAGTGACTCCCTGTTCTTGGTTGGTAACTTTTTTAACTTCTGTACACATTACATCACTCTCCCAGTGTCTAAGTAGATACTCTTATTAAGTTACGGTATTTTCCCATATATTCATTACTAGTTTCAAAAATATTTGTATTCCCTTGATATTTAATCTGTTCCTTTCCAAGCATAATATCTGAGATATTATTTGGATGTACTTACATTGTGGAGTTTAAGTAACGGAAAGTGATTCCATGAGGAGGAGGACCTGACACCACTAAGTGGTACCGGAAGTGCTCTCCCCAGAGATAACTAGAAGACTTGCTTACGACTATACACAAATAACCCGCACATAAAAGAGAGAAGCTTACGACGACGTTTCGGTCCGACTTGGACCATTGACAAAGTCACACTGACTTTGTCAATGGTCCAAGTGTCAATGGTCCAAGTGTGACTTTGTCAATGGTCCAAGTCGGACCGAAACGTCGTCGTAAGCTTCTCTCTTTTATGTGCGGGTTATTTGTGTATCGTTCCAGTCACGGTATTGTGCCTTTTTGTTATTTATTGCTTACGACTCTCTCCTTCCCAGCATGACAAATTTGCTGTAGGAACATAAATTAGTAGCATTCAGTGATACTAGCAGTCAGATTATGCTAATTTAATAACTGGAGAGATCGTAGAGCAACTATAGAATAATCTTTGCCGTCAATGGTCATGGCCCTCGACTTAACCACTCTCTCTCTCATTTCCTGTAGGATTTTGTACAACGTAATAATTTCTCTCTTAGTCCTTCTTTTCGCCAAGATCGTCAGTTTAAATTCCTTTAGTATTTCTTCATAATATAATTCTCAGTTCTGGGACTATATATGATTGCAAACCTTTAGACCTTTCCGAGTTTCTTCCTATTTCTTGATTAGATAGTAGAGCACCACTCTGGTACTACTTACTTTATACGCTTTATATACGTTCCGTAAAGAGTCTTAAAGATTCTTTATTTAGGTCTTTAAAGGATGTTCTAGGATATGCTAGAGTCATATATGTCACCGATAGTATGCAGTTGATTTGCTAATTAAGTGACATACTTGAGATCAGATTTGCTCCAAGATTCTCTCTCTTTAATTAATACTTGTAGATTGTCGCCTCTCAAACTGTACTCCATTTCCAGTCTTCAGTCTCCTACCCTGATTCATATGACCTTGTTTTTATTAAGAATTAATTAAAATAACCACCCTGTAACCTCTCCAGATTTGCCTGTGTCTCCCATTTGGATTCATCTCATTAGTTTAACATCATCAGCAAATAAAGACACATAGGAATTAATCCCTTAAGAGTTATTTTTCATATATTAATAACAGCTTGGAGAACTTTATCTGTGAAAATGTGGATTAAGGGGGGTTATAACCCCTCCCTCTTTCCATTAGCAGAGAGGAAGAGAGTTCAAATATCGTGTATCAAAGCTCCATTAAGCCATACCAGAACATCCATATATTTTATCGTGTGTTCCTTACAAATTTAGATTGGTAAATTAGACACATGAATGTCTTTATTGCGGAAACTTTTCGCCATGCACTGGCTTCATCAGTTCTAAGCAAAGAAGAATGGTGAGGATCAGAAGGAATTTGAGATAATCAGTCCCTCAGCCTGGAGTCGATGTAATCAGTCCATTAATTATGGAAAGAATACAGCATATGCGCGAAGTGGCTTATATACTGTAGACAGGTAAGATGCAAAAATTGTAGGCGATATCACAGTGGACACATCCACATGTGGAAGTAGGTCATACCTATAGGTTAGGTCAGTGAAGAATTCCCTGTATCAAGACCCCAAGATGTCGCTGTGTCTGACATTCTCGTCAGACAAACGACCTGTTATCAGTGGATTTCTCGAAGTCAAGTAGGATTAGGGTTATGTCGGAAATTTTGGTAATGTTAGTAGAATTTTGAATCTTGTTTGTAATAAATTTATTTCGATTATCAACCTTTAGTCCGATTAATGGTTCACGAAATACAGTCATAGTGAGACTTCAATATTTCATTCATTTTTTTGTTGCGGTCAGTATAAGTTACATCTCCTTTAAGCAACTGTCTGATGCTGGACGGGGTATTTGCCTTGGGTTTTATATATCTACTAATTTCACTCATTATTTCTTGGTCCCGCTGTCTCTCCTGGACTCTGTGTGACTCATTCAATATAGAATTCATTGTTTTCAATTTCTGTTCTCAGTTATTTTTTCCGTTTTTCAGATAGACTAGAACCTTTGATCAATTCTGTAATTCCTCGACTTCGCCTGTAGTGGGAGCGTCTCTCTCTCTCTCTCTCTCTCTGACTTGTTTCTTCTCTTCTTTTTCCTTAATGCTATATTCCTTTAGCATACCTGATGCTTGACTCTATCCTCATTATCCAGCTGAAGTGTCCCGGGTTAGGTTGGCATTATATATGAAATCTATCGTATAGCAGCGTATAACAGAACACAGCAGATGTATCCCATTTTTCTTAAAGAATATCCACCTTCTTCCCTGTTCTTCAACCCTTCCTTTTTCTCATTCCCCCCCCTCCCCCCTCCTCATCTTCATCGCTGGGTCGTGATGAACACAACACTTTAATGAAATGTTTTAGTGTCGACGATTACCGGCTGGTGGTTAGTTAATGGGTACTTGGAGGAATACTGGTGGCTTGGGTAGGCGTGTCCGTGGAGGGCATTGTCGCGCCTCAACCACAGTATTCCCTTCCATGATGTCATGATGAGATTGTGAAAAGTCCTGAGGCTGCCAAGATGTTATCATGGTCTGTGGGCAGTGTCAGAGGTCGCCACTACCATTTGCAGGTCATATATAACCCCTCCTTCCCATACTCCTCCTCCTCCTCTTCCTTCTTTTTCTTTTTCTTCTTTCTCTTACTTTTTCCTATCCTCTAGTTCTCTCTGCTACTTTCTTAAGTATTCATGCTTCTCTTCCCTCTATTGTCTCTCCTCTCTTTCACTCGTGTCGTCTTTCATCTTCCCTCACCTCTTCTATTACACATTTTTCGTTTTATCGTTCCTCCTTCCTCCCTTTTGTCTCACTTTGACTGTTTCCTCTGTCGTTCACATTATCCCTCTCTTTGACTTGTATACGTCCCCCGTTTTTGTTCCCCTCTACTCTGTCCCTATCTTTATTCCCTTAGTCTCCTTCATCTTCCCCTCTCACTTTCTCTACCACCTAAACTCTTTCCATCCCCTCTACTCCCTCCCTTACCCCCTTCTTTATCTTTCTACCCCTACCTCTCCCTTTCCCCTCCCACCTACTCATGCTCTCTATTTTCTTGAAGTCTGACACCCAGACTTAACTAAGTTTGTGTTAAATAAAAGGATCACTTTGTGGTGATGAAGATCTTTATTTGGCTGTGAGAAAGATACAACAACAGATGTCTGCTGCCTGATTCTCATCGCTGCTCTTCTCTCTCCCTGTATTGTCCGTCTGTTTGCTTCCCTTTTCTCTCTGTTTTGTCTGTCTGTTTGCTTCCTTTCTCTCTTCCTCCGTCAGTCTATTTGTTTCCCTTCTCTCTTCCTCCGTTTGTTTGCCTTCCTTCTCTCTATCTCAGATTGTTTGCTTCCCTTTTCTCTATTTCGTCTGTCCGCTTTTCTTGTCTCTCCATTCCTAGTCTGCTTGCTTTCCTTATTTCCTTCTCCCCATCCGTCTCTTTTTTTTTTATTCTTGCTAGTTATCCCCGAAGGGAATATCTAATGTCTTTCGTTCAAAACTCGAAAACGCCTCATTGAATCGGTTTCGAATTCTCACCGCTTGTATACTATAACCAGCTCCGGGTTCATGAAATAACTGGCATGTGCTGGTTCCTTATGACCAAGGTTATTGAAACCATTCCCAGCATCCTGGAATGGTTCCAGTAACTTCCAAAACCTTCAGCGCCACGGCTTCCAGCGTTCATTAAACGTGTCTCCTAATTCATGTGTGTGCGTAGGTTCAACTCTATTTTATTTTCCATAAAACAGCATGAAATTTTTATTCCCGTTAAACTACGTTTACCTCTGGAGTACCTGGAGTTTACCTGGAGAGAGTTCCGGGGGTCAACGCCCCCGCGGCCCGGTCTGTGACCAGGCCTCCTGGTGGATCAGAGCCTGATCAACCAGGCTGTTACTGCTGGCTGCACGCAAACCAACGTACGAGCCACAGCCCGGCTGATCAGGAACCGACTTTAGGTGCTTGTCCAGTGCCAGCTTGAAGACTGCCAGGGGTCTGTTGGTAATCCCCCTTATGTATGCTGGGAGGCAGTTGAACAGTCTCGGGCCCCTGAAACTTATTGTATGGTCTCTTAACGTGCTAGTGACACCCCTGCTTTTCATTGGGGGGATGTTGCATCGTCTGCCAAGTATTTTGCTTTCGTAGTGAGTGATTTTCGTGTGCAAGTTCGGTACTAGTCCCTCTAGGATTTTCCAGGTGTATATAATCATGTATCTCTCCCACCTGCGTTCCAGGGAATACAGGTTTAGGAACCTCAAGCGCTCCCAGTAATTGAGGTGTTTTATCTCCGTTATGCGCGCCGTGAAGGTTCTCTGTACATTTTCTAGGTCAGCAATTTCACCTGCCTTGAAAGGTTTACTTCTGTTTACTTCTGAACAACTTGTGTATTTAAAGGATGATGCATATTAATTTCCACGTGATAACTTGTAAATTCCAACATGACTCACGAAATAGTAATAATACAATTGTAAACAAACCGCGGAACGGGTGGAGTTTGAACCCATGACGAGTGAGTCCTAGAACTCTAGGCCAGTGCTGGCATTTAACTGTATTACAAACTTACCTTTCACGTTGCACTATTCCAGTCGCGCCACTGAGGTACAAGAAACTGGAGCTATGGAATACGGAGATACCCTTGTCGAATCATGGAGCGACAGAAATTCATCTATTGTCGTCTGTATTTATATCTAGTTTGATATACTCACCTCTCTACACCTGCAGTTACACTCACTCTCTCCCTTAGGAAGACAAAACTATTCAAAGATTAAAAATTAGGAAAGGTAATCACAGAACAGGGAAT